CGGCGCGCGCATGTGTCCCTTCCGCCGTGGCTCTCCTAGTCGACGCGACGGCAGTTTCCGTGCGGTGTCAACTTTCCTACTCCAGGGTCGTTGATGCGCCGCTGCTCTGTTCTCGTCCTCACGAACCAAGGCGGTGGGCGCCCAGGACTTGCCGATTTGGTTGGGTATAAGCGCAAGTGCAAGCATAACCCGCAACTCGAGGGGCTGAGGGGCTGCGGCTCGGGGCTGAGTTTTGGTGCTGCTGGGGCCTAGGCGGGATAGAGCAGGAGAAGTCATGAAGGTACGTCTTGGAGCCTTCATCTACGATCTTGTCTGATAACATTGTCCATCCGCAGACGTTTGTAGAGGCACCAGCGGCGGTGAGCCCTGAGTCCCTTGATTTCTTCCCCCTGTCGCTTTCCAGGCCCGTGCGTAATGTGTAGCGCTTTGAGTTTGAACGGGGATGGATGATCTCTTCACTCTTCTCTTCCGCCTTCGCAGAATTGCAGTCCATCCTCATCTTCCGGTATCATACCCAATACTCCTCCCCCCACCGACTACCACCACGCGTACCTCCGCCACATTTCCCATGCCCTAGGCGACCTACCCTCAAATCAACGTACATGTACCCCTGCGCGCGTCTCCTTATACCCAGAATCGTTTGCGTTCTCCAAGTCTTTCCGCGTGCGCGACCATGACATTTCCGATTGGTGTTAGGGCTCGAGATACCGCTCTCGACTGCGACTCACCCCCATCCCATCTCATTTCGGACGGGCGCACGTCCCGTACTACCACCTGTCTGAACCGCGCGCGCCGCAGTTGGGTGCTATGCGGACGATCTACCTCAAGCTCCACGCCGCTCTTGTGTGAGCGTTTGTGTGAGCGCCCCATTTAAATCTAAAATGGACCATACCCGGCTCGAAGGTCGCCCGCGCGCTTGTGCCTCATCGTCGTGCGCCATTTCCGCCGCGTCGTTTGCGTTGTCCGGATATTTGAGGCGGGCTCGAAGGTGTATGTCGGTTTTGATCGGCGGGATCTGCCTATGCGTCCGCAGTTCAAGCGCCAGTACGTACATCCCCGCCGTGAACCGAACTTCTTTACTGCCGACTGTGTCGTTTCGGTCGCCAGGTATTCTGGGCGCTTGTCTGGGCGTTTATCTGGTCGAGGGTGTGGAGGGGGAGGATACGGTGCTGGCGGTGGGCGGATGAAACTCAGGCAGGTCATCTTAAGATCGGGGTGCTTAATACCGCCACTCAAACTTAAGTTCAGCTGAACTTAAGTTCTTCACCCCGGGCAGGCATGAGGACCTCTCTCTACCCTCCCTTGTTTACCGAGACTGAAGTTCCGACAAGAACTCAAGTTTGACTCAACAACTCAAGTCCCGCCGACAACTTGAGTTGCGACCACGTTCCGACAATGACTCAAGTTGCGCAGGAACGCGCGAAGAGCGTTCAAGCCGGTTTGAGTTCCTCCAGTGGCTTAGTTACTATGCTGTTCGTTTTGTAAACAAAATAAAACCCACCTCGATTTTGATTGGAGGGTCAGAAAGCCCGAGTTATGAGATGCGCACACCGATTTTGACTGAACTTCACTATTCTAAAATCACCCCTCACGACATTGAACCCATCTCACGATATTTGAGGCATCTCACGATTCTGAATTCACCACCTCACGATTCTGAAACCCCCACCTCACGATATTATGAAGCCCAACTCACAATTTTGAAACCACCACCTCACGATTTTGAGGTAACCATCTCACGATTTCGAGGCCACCATCTCTTGATTTTGATAAATTGATCCCGAACGTCGCCGGTAATAACAACGGCGAGTGTTCGGGCATTGCGCGCCGCGGCGAGCGGGGCATGGCGGGGACGGCGGTGTCGCATTGGCACTGTGTCGGTTATTGATCAGGATCCGGATCATCGCACCGTACCGCCGGTGAATGGCCATATTTGGCTGCGGCTTCAGCCGGCATGTTGGCGGCATGATGCTGCCTCCGTGCGAACGAGTGCTGATCGGTGCATTCCTATGCTACTGCGTGAAGCTGGATGCTCTTTGAGAGCTGCATTGTGCACCCCAGCTGCGTTTACAAAGGGGGTCCTCGTCTCCTCGGGTTGAAAATTTTATGACACCGCACTGGACGCATGCACAATCAATTCGACCTCAGGTTCGACAATTCCATCATTCGGCTCAATTGGGAAATTGTGTTCAGACTCCTATCTTGATTTAAGGTAGAAGTGGAAGGGTCAGGAAGAGAAAGGGAAGGAAGGAAGGTCAAGAGCAGACCTACGCACGCCCGCACCCTCAAGTTCAACACATGGATAATTGAGCTGTTTCCCCGCGACAATCAGACGCCGTAGACCAAAACATGACGACTTGGAGCCACCGCTGCTCGGAGAAACAAATTCTGCTCCGGAGGTCCATCTGCCAAAGGTTGGATTCGAAGTTCGTACACCAATATGCTGCAACAACGATTAACTGTTGCTTTCAACATGGCCGAAATGCCCGAAAGGACTCCGTAGGAGACTATGCATCCCGACTTCAAGAGGAGCAGCGAGCCCTCGAATTTATTGAGACAGTTGCATTCGGTGATCTCGGCCTCTCTTTTGTGACCATAAAAAATGTGTCGGTTTGGGGCGGACATTGAAAAATGAGCGTGAATCCTGACCGCTGTATGCATCGGATCGCTATGATGCCACAGCGTTTGAACGTGTTCAACTCGATGTCGAACCAACGAGTTTGAACCTGGGGACCGCTTTGAACACCACATCGGGCTTTCGGCCCGCATCACGCAGCCTTTGTTTAAATCATGCGTTGCCGTAAGCGTTGCACCTTGTCTTTCTCCTCACTCTCACCGACCATGGCTGACTAGCGCTAGCGCTGACTGGCCGTTGGCCGTGTGCTAGCACGTTGTCCTCCCCAACGCCCTCCAGCTAACCCACGCCATCCTCACAGTCCCTTGTGCTCAAGTCTACCCACGCGTGTCCTCGTGCCACTTCCGTGCCACCTTGGCCTGCGGTAACTTTTTCGTCTATTCTGGCGTTCAAGCAGTCAGTATGATTTTGAGATTACTGGATTCGCTCTTACTGCCTTCTTTCATAGAGGCCTCAACACCGACATAGTCTATGGAATGTTCCCTCGATGGCTCAACATATGTGTCAGCTCCGATCCAACTCTCGGGTTGACTTTCTACTTGGCCACCCTTCACCCAATGTTCTCAAGTAACGGCTTCAACTTTAGGCACTCAGATGTTGGAACTATGTGTTGGAACTATGTCTCCAGCTACGTCTTCCCCTTCATTTTCGTTGCCACTCTAACATTTGACGCATTTCAGTAGACCGCAACTATGCATGTACTCCGGGTATACTTCGCTCACCTCCCCTTTGTTCTTCATCCAATTTATAGATCCTCAGGTGTTGTCCACCGGCGTTTACTAACCAGTCCTTCGAGCTCCCCTAAGCCAAACCGTTGCTATCCCTTAATTCACGCGTGTGTTCCACCTTCAATTCCATGTCAGCTATACTCATGTTTACTGTAGGTCCGAACTATTCATTCGGGACTGCGTAAACATTCATCAAGTCGGAACCACGGACGTACAATTCAATGTATGCCACTTTCTCCTTTATTCTTCACCGAGTCTGAAATCATGTCCCGGCAGAACCAGTCCACTTTGCGACCGCCGAACCTATCCGAATCGAACCAGGTGCGTCCTCTCAATCTCTGTATGCATAAAGCTCTGGAGTGGCTCTTTGAACTTGCGTAGTTTGATTCGCGCTTGCGCGAGGCAGGGCATATCTAGTATCACGGATTAAATCTCAATGTATCACACTGCGGCGAAAAAAAAATGGCGTACCTCAGCCACTCAAGCAAATCGACTGGAGTTTGACTGATTTGTGGACTTGAGTTCCACCTGCGCAACTTAAACATCTGGTGGAACTTGAGTTATCGGCTGAACTTCAGTCCTTGGTGGAACTTGAGTTCTCGGTCAGTAAGGGAGACTATACCAGTCAGTCGCCAAGCCTGGATAGAGAACTTAAGTTCCAGCGAACTTAAGTTGTGATGGCGGTATTAAGCACCTCGATCTTAAGAGAAGCTAAGGAATTACTTGTGGGCGGAGGTGTGGAAGAGAGGGCGTGAACGAATCGACCATTCGATGGCTTGAGTTTCTTTTGTATTCCTTCGACCGGAAATAAAATAAGATAAAGGTGCGCTTACATCTCTTTCACTTTTCGTCTCGTCTCAATTCTTGCGAACAGCCCTCACTTTTAGGAGTCGGTAATTGCACTGCGCCGGTGCATGTTGGACTGGAGGGGATACATACGAGGTATGATCTTCGTTTCGGAGTCTTTTGGCGGCGGATCCTGATGATTGGTCCTCGTGTAGTAGTTCCTTCTCACTGTACCACAGACCGACGAGCAGCAGCTGTCAATGCAGTGAGTATTAAACTCATCTTGGGTGGAAGCTGGCGACGTTGAATTTTGTGGTCCCGCGTGGTTGGTTGTAGTCGAAGGGCTCGGGAGGCTCGAGTTTGTTGTCACCATCGACGCGCTCGATGCGTGGATGAGCAGCAATTGATGCGATCCGTTGTCGGTCGTACCCTCGTATGTTGGCGTTGGGAAACTTGGCCTCCACTTCCAAGGCGGCCTGAACTACAAAATAGAAAGAAAAAAACAGAAGAATGGTTGGCAAATGACCGCCCTTAGTTCAGCTTAAACTATGGTTTCAAGCAGCTTGCAGGTGCAATTCGATTTGCTACCACCCTTTCACCACTGGGTCTTATCTGTGGGTCCTAATTCCCCTCTTTCTTGGCGACTCCTGCAGGACATCACAATGTTTGTTTCCAGTATAATTTATTATTATTACTGTATAATGGCAAAGCACGTGAATAATAATAGGAGATGTTCCAGGCTTGCTCAAGTAGAAACACCACATCTAGTAGCGGGGTTTGTATCACAATTGATATATGCACCGGGCACCACCCATCAAAAAAAAAAATAGTTCATTAACATTCACGACATAGGACCCAGCCCTGGTTCGAACAGAGGACTCCCACATCCAGTTGATGGAGATGCATATTTAGGCGGTGCGGGTGTGATTCACTTCACCACTGGGTCTTGTTTCTCACTCGTGGGTCTGTTGAAATCACATTCAAATTTCTCATGCCGAGATTTGGATCCTAATAATGATACTTACAGAAATGAGTTCTGCAGTGCTGGCTATCCCATGCTCTTGAGGTTGGGGGAGGGAAAAAAGCACTAGAAGAAAACTCACGTATGACCTTCCCTTGGTTCGAACAAGGAATTCTTGCAGTTCATGCCACAAGCAAACTGGAATATAGTTACAGGTGCGATTCGTTTCGCTACCAGGGCTTATTCCTCCTGCTTCTCGACCCGTAAAGCGCAGGCCGAATGAGATTCTCTGAGAAGAAGAAAAGGTGGACCCAACGCAACGAATGACCCAGCCCTGGTTCAAACAGGGAACTCCTGCTAACAAACTCCGCTGGCCAGTCCAGGTGTTGCGGGTGTGATTCATTACACCACTGGGTCTTATCTGTGTGTCCTACATCTCCCCTCGGTTTAACGCTGCCTTGAACATCCCAGATAAACCAATCAGTTGGCATTGAGGTTCATGATGGTGAGTTGAGTCGGCGAAAACGGTGTTAGCAGGTTGTGTTTCCAACCTTGTAGAGTCGAACTTGCATTATCATTGATATTTTGCGGAATAAAAAACTCGCGCATTCTTGTGAAAATCCAGCCCTGGTTCGAACAGGGGACTCCCGCCAACGATGCACCGGCCAGTCCAGGTGTTGCGAGGGTGATTCAACTCACCACTGAGTCGTACCCACTCATCCTAATTCTCTGCTGGGTTCGCAACTTTTACGCTGCCTTGAACATCCCAGATAGCAGAAATCAGTCAGGATTCAGATTCGTGATGAATTAGGTTGGCTGAGAATTTAAAACGAACTGGGCTAACGTGAATTGTAACCGCCCGGCCATGCTGCTGAGTTTTCAGACGTCGTAGAATTGAAGCTGAATTGTAATTTTGCGGAAGAAAAGTCGACAGCCGTTCCACCTAAAGACCCAGCCCTGGTGCGAACAGGGGACTTCCAGGAGAAACCGTTGAAGTCCGGAAGCTGTGCAGGTGTGGCGGGCGTGATGTGGTTCGCCTGGCAACTTCACCACAGGGTCTGCTGTCCATAACATGATTATACCCTTGGTTCATCATGCATCATTAGTCTCTCCACATGGTAAACCATAAATTGATCTCCACCTTAGTAATAGTTATAGGACAAAGTGAAGTGTTGCACATGAACTTGATGCTAAAACATGTCGAGATTCCAAGGAAAAAATGAGCTTGGTGATCTTGGATCGGCGCGCGGGATCTGTATTGCTTGGACCTTTAATCGGGTAAAACTGAAAGTAAATTGTAATGGAAGAAAAAGAGCATTTCTTGAACTTCAACATGCCGAGATGAAACGTCGGCGATCAAATAATCGATCAATCAGTTGGGAGGAATGATGTGATCGGCTATCATTGCCACCAATCGAACGCGTCTTGGCTCAACTTTGGCGCTGGCTCGTAAAGAGAACCCCAAATCCGGCCACAAGCAGCCCGAGGATTAGAATTTAAATAGGAATGACTCGTGGAAGAGCCCGACGCGGAATTGACGCGCACTGCTCATGCCAAGCTCATGCTCTTGTCGTGTCGCCGTCGCCGTCTCAGTAGCACTGCTCATCGATCTCATCCGATGGCCTATACCTGCAGAGTCCCTCTCCCAGTGTCCAAGTGTATTAGGTGCGTCGTGACTCTATCTTTGGCTGGTGTTCTCGTCTCATTCTCTTTCTCCCACCGCAGCTCCAGCTCTGGCGAACGCAGCGTTCTCGTCCCGGGATGGCCCGCAACTCCCAATTAGCCCTCGCGCCGCAGGTTGAAGGGAATAAATCGGGGTATGGATTTGGCTGGTACTAGCGACTCGGGTGCCCGTGCGTATCGCGCGTTCTGCCGTCGTTCTGGTTCTCATACAGCGAAGACTAGCCGCGCCGGCTTGTGTATGCGTCAATGCGCTGTGTGCGGTGCGGTCTCCCAACCCTCGCTCCATAACAATGCTATCACATTCGTAGCCGCCGTTGTCTCTGCAATGTCGGAACGGAGCCCATCCCTACCTCGGCCGCGCTTCGTGCTTCGCGACCACAACCACACACTCTCTACTTTCAGCCGTTCGGCTTTCGACTCGCGTAGGACCGCCAATAGTCTCGGGCTCCATGCTGATCGTACATACGCGCACCGCGTCTGCTCCCTGCCTTTCGACCTCCGACTTGAATGCGTAGATGGAGCGCCTGCGTACCCACCCATTCTCATCTGTCATTTGTAACCGCGCCCTACGCTCTCCCACCCTTCCGCGCCCCGCCTTCAATTCCAATTCTAACCCAACGCTGCAGCGGCGGCTGAAGCACGATCCCATTCATCCTCTGCGCGCTCTCTTCAACGTGTCAAGTGCGCTACACCCAATCCGGCCTCTCTCCAGATATCTTATTCGCCCGTCCACGCCGCACCACACTCGACGAAGTTGAACCGGATTCAACCCGCGTGGCGGTGCGAGCTCCACGAACATCGGTAGCAGGGGCGCGAGCGCGACCTGTGCGTCGAAAAAAGGTTCAACCTCATCGTGATGAAGTTGTCCATCGGATCAACTTGGATGACGATTCCTTAATATCTTCTTCTGCTCGACTTCACCGCTCTTCGTTTATATTTTCGCAAGGGTCCTCCAGCGTCAAAATTTGAACTGACTTCGCCATTGTTTTTGGCCCTTCGTTTAGGCGCGGCGGGCGCTTTCCCCCCTTCCTTTCCTTCACTTTGGATGCCTGCAATGGTTCGTTTACCGCAGTTTCTCCTCGCCTTGTCGCCCAGGTTCTCGGCCTTTCCAATGTGCGAACCCCTCGGAGGCGCCTAAAAAGAAAAAGCGCCCATGTGCGCATGTCAAATGTTGAATTTTGCCGCTGGTATGCCTCATGAAGTGACAGACAGCAGGAACCTTGCGAGAAGGCCCCGACGATATCGGGTAACTTCTACTGGGTGGGAGCATATCTTCTGTACAGTGTTCAGACTAGAGTCGCCAGTGTGGTTCCTCGGGGCCTGAAAGTTTCAAGTTCCCCGATGATGTCGCTACGTGGAATTGGCACCCGGGCCCTGGACACCTTTAATAGAACAAGAACAAGAACTTGAGTGCTAACCCGATGGTATATTTACCAACAACAAGCCTGTTACTGTACGGAACCCATCTAGTTTATCTAGAGTACTGCCGCGTAGCCTCTATGGCCAGGTACGGTGTAGTGTAGAAATCAGAACAGAACAGAACAGCGCCTGTCAGGTAGCGTTTCTGCCCGCCGATTAGCGCTCCTAAGCTTCTTCAACATCCTAAGTGTGCCAAGCGTCTTCCATTTGCGTTCTGTTGTCTTGATTGACGCTTTTCAGCGCCATGATATAGAGGCGGGTTATTTCAAACCTGGAATACCCCCCACAGTGCTCACACCCGACAGAAAATTCGAAATGATTCAGTCCTGTGGGTCATACTCCCCCTCATATGCACCAACCATTCTACTGATCGTGTCTTGCAGACCTCTTCTCCGTTGTATCCCTACTCGTCGCAGGTGCCTCGCTAACTGTAACTGGTGGGTGTGTACTCGTGTAATCTTTCCCCTGCTAACCTTCCATTTCCTTAGCCGCCAACGTCAGTCGTACATCTGATATTACCTCTGCGCTCAGCCTCTCGGCCTCAAAATGGATATGGAATTCTGCCGCTGCCACTGCCGGCGCGCAGGTTGCCTTGCGCAAGGACTTTGGCCCTCCCTTCGGCAAAGCTCTAATCGCGGCAGAAATACTTATATCTGGCTACTAGTACACTAACTTCCAGTTGTATGTGAACGGTGACTACGTCGGCACAGGCGATCGTCCGCGCTTTGGCCATCGTTTCTGCGTCGACCTCCTTCCCAGCCTCAATGTCTTCGCCGTCAACGGCTCTACCACATTGAGTGGCCCTCTCGATGGAGGACTGGCTGCAATCATCCTTCTCACCTACTCGGGCACTATCGCCGATACTCTAGTGACAGATAGTTCCTGGCGGACAAAAGGACCGCCACCTCCCGGATGGGAAACACTGGCCTTCGACGACACAACGTGGCCCGTCGCTACCGTGGTCGGGAGTTATGGTATCGCACCCTGGGACACCGTGGTCGTCAACATCCCTGCCGACCCGCCGATGATCACCCTTTTATCCCAGTGGGTATGGACCGATGTCATTTCAACCACTGCATTCCTCCCCGCCAGTTCACGCGTCTTTCGGCGCACATTCACCCCTGCGCCGGGTCAGGTTCCTGCGACCGCGACCATCCTCATATCTGCCGACAATACATACACGTTGTATGTCAATGGTGTGACTATCGGTTCGGGAGCCAACTACAAAGTCGCCCAGAAGTACACCGTTACTTTTGCAACGGCGCCGTCGGAAGTGGTGCTCGCAGTCCTCGCCACAAATATTCCCACAGGTGCGGCGGGATTGCTTGTGGCAATGGAGGTGAACATGGTACCTAGTGGACGCACTAGTTGCACCGCAGGTTCATTCCTCATCACCGATGCGCTTTGGAAGTCGACGAAGGACAATATTCCAGATGGGTTCGAGCAGCCTGGGTTTGACGACTCAGCGTGGCCTGCGGTTGTCTCGGAGACAACGTACCCCGGAGCACCCTGGAACACGCTGACAATAGAAACAGTGGCCACACCGGTCACTGTGTGATTCTATTTCCACATTTTCAAGTTGCTGGATTTATGGGTTGTATTTCGCTCTCGTTACATAATTTAGTCTGTTTTCCGAACCCCGCTCTTTATGCAATACTAGCAGTTTCCCGTGTCTTCGCCACGGAAATTGTAAGTAGATGTCACTTTCAAACCGTGGCCTGATTTTTTCACCCTATGTTAATATAAGTGAACACTGGCTCCATACAGCAAGGACGCGTTGTTATGGTTTCTTTGTCTTATGCGACTCTCGCGTGGTACCCACATGACCCACCAGTGATCAAGGGGCAATCGGGATTCGAAAATCGGATGTGGGGTCGATAATT